GACGATGCAAGAAATTCATCGCTTCCAGATCTCCAAAATTTTATTGTTTGAAGCAAGTTACGATATTTTAAATAATATTGTTAAAAACTCCCAAGTCCGACTTTCTATTAACCTCGGTATTGATTGAATATATCTTTCTACTTCTGTTCAGCAAGCACGAGGTGCTATTTTATTTAAATAAAATAGCACCTCGTGCTTGCTGAACAAAAGTAGAAAGATATATTGTTAGAAATACTTATTTATTTCCGAATAGCTTAATATTATTGGCCGCTGTTTTGTCTGCACGATTTTCGGGTACCACTGAATCTTGTTCAACTGGCTTGGCTGTAAAGAGACAACTTAGAGCGTTATCTTCAGTATTCGTGTTCTCACAACTAACCGTGGATTTGGATCATCATATTTTCTGATTTTGCTTTTCTTTTTTGTCTGTTGCTTGTTCTTTCTTTCTCGCTGTAAGTTATTGCATAAAACATCACATAAACAAGCAAACATCCTATGTAGATCGTAAAACGGTTGTAAAGTGTCTAAAAGTGGCCCGAGTGTGATTTGAGTAATATAAAACCGGAATGATCGCAAAAGTTCAGAAATAGAAACCTGTTCATGCAGTTCCGCGTTAATGTGAAGTCGTAATGCTCATTGGAAAGGATAATGACTGTATGGTACGATAAGGAATTCTTTCAAAAAGCCCTTTTTCATTCGAGCTTAGTCTGAATGGTCATCGTCAGCTAACGGTTTGACGGCCACAATAGTGGCTCACAACAATGTCACATGAGCTTGTCAATGAGCCAACATACTTATTGATAGGAATGGTTTACATAATTCCCCAAAGATTTCATGAAGGAGAATATAAAGGAGAAATTGGGTGTTGAGTAACTCTGTCTGCGGATGAAAAATCGTATAAGGTAAAAAATAGGAGGCCAGTGTCGCATTATTTGCACAACCGTCATTGACGCTGATGGCATAGATAACTAGGAGAATATCATGGGTTATTCTTCGGTCGTTTTGGTATTTCCATAGAGCTGTGATTCTATGAGCACCAAAGCTGTTCCTGTTAAATGGATAAAAGCATAGTTGGGCAGATTTATAAGATTTTTCTTCAGGATAACGTGGTCTTGAAAATGGTGAAATAATGAGGACCATGGCTTTGGTACACCGCGAAAGTATTTCAGTTCTGACTTGTTCGATTGGACTACCACATAATTTTTTGAAATGGGCCTTTTTACCGCGAAGAGAATCGGTTTTGTGAAGAATGGAAATAAAGCAATGCTTATTCATATTTCATGTCATAGTTGTTCCTCTGCCACATTTACCAATACAAATTTAATTTTATCGGCAAAAAGATCGATAGAACTAGCTAAGGGACAGGCAGGACGAAGGACCCGGATGGTGTGGTGGTGAAGTGCGCTGCTCACCGGTAAGAACAACAGCGCGTGTTCGTTCCCCACTGCATACACCTGCAGTCCGGAGTTTTGCAAATATCTCAGCATTTCATACGAGTTATATTTCGCAACATACCCTGTCATTAAGAAGAAAAAGGCAGTAAATAAAAAGGGTTAAACAGTTCTATCCATCTAGTCTATTACTTCTCAAAACGTCTACTAGTTCTATCAGTCAGTGCTTAACATGATTTGTTTACCTGTTCACAAGTTTCTTTTTTCAAGTTCTGTCCAATCAACGTTTTACACTTCGGGTCTCGAAAGTTTTCTATTTGTGAAGAGCTCTTAATCATTGGCCACCCTGAAGTTGTTGACTAAAGTTTCTGAGTGCCAAAGTGCGACATGAAGAAGGTAGTTTATTCACCCGGTAGAGTTAACTAAGCAGAAGAGTTTGAAGTTTTCATTTAGAGGTCGGGTTACATTAAACCCATTCTACAGCAAATCTCGGTGAACAAGCTGTGCCCATCTTCTCGTACAAATGTTGAAAAGAAGGGAACTGCACTGTATGTGTCCACTGGCGCATCAAAGGACGAATAGCTCACTGGTTGCCGCTCAAGTTTCTCAATAACTTGTAAGATTACAGAGAACGCAGATGATTTATGATGACATCAAATCTCAAAAAGTGTCATACGTGGAAGAAAAAAAACATGGATTTCCGACGTCAAAAATCGATTCTACTCAAAGCGAAAGAGACACATTCTCGATGTCAACATAGTGATGGCGTCGAAAACTTCAAAACCATCGCGAACACCTGCATAGTAAGCAAATACGCCTATGGTGAGAGAAAATTGGAATTTCGAAACGAATAGCTGTCAAACGCTTGCCAAGGACGGAGAGTCTTTCCGAGGAAGCGAGCTTCGGACTGCAAATCAACCCGAAATTGATGGCTTTGCTAAGTCTTGCTCTTGTCTAGTGGAATGCAATGTCCAATCAAACATGATTTGATGCCGCCATGTGGAAACGCCTCATTAGCGTTGAATAACGGCCAGATGAAACCCTATAGTTAACGGAATTTAAGTGTTCTCCATAGGCGATACGCCGCATTTTCAATGAAGTGGGAAATTCGCTAAAAACCAAGAGAAATGTTATGAAGACGACCCATGAGTCGAACAGAGATCGTTGTGCAAAGCCCTTGAAATTTCTCGTCTTATGATCCAAAATGTGAATTCTGTCTTATGTTTCACTTTCATTTTAACGGACTTGTTAGTGCCACCCCATAGAAGCGCATACAGTCTAGTGAGTCTAGCAAGTCAGGTTACGTAAGGCTAAATGATCTTCTAGATGGACACACTGCAACCATTACTCTCATAACTTCGTTGGGCATGTAGTGATGAAATTGCTGAGATAGGATTGCTACGAAATCTGTAACAATACGCATTTTAAGAAAATTGTGGGATCCAACCTATGACATCGTTCTCGATCGATGCCGCATTGGAAGACCTGTCGCAATTCAGAAAACTCCCTTCGTTTCACGAGAACCTGCGGTGAAATTGTGGCAAAGCCATAAGACTGATATCATGAGATTCTGGGAAATCCATGATATGGCATCATCTGAAATCCCAGTGAATGAACAGAAAGTCAAGCGGCCGCCGAACTCGTACAAGAAGTCAATCAACTTTATGAGGTAGCAGAATGACTAGAAGTGTCCTGGTCAGCTGGAGATGCGGGCGTAGGAGCCACCTGAGTTTGTAAACCTACACGGGAATATGCATGGTGAAATGTATGCCGACTTGTACAGAAACTTGTCTGTGTTTAAATTAACTTACTTCGCAGGAATCGTGACGTATCGATTTTGATAATAAACAACTAATTTATTTTTATATGTGAGCTATGATATTGTACACAGGTAGAGAACAAAATCTGTGAAAAAGTACATGTACATTTAGATGGAGAGCAGCAATGAAGTAAATTAGGCTCTATGATGAATTCTACATTTTCTAGGGATTAGTGGTTAAGCAACTAAATGAAATAAGGACGCCAATAATAAGGACTTACCAGTTTTAGGAGTTTTCTGGAGAGACCTGGAATAATGGCAACAATTGTCGCCAGTTCAAGAAACGGAACTTCGAAAAGACAACTCGATAACGCCTACGGATAAGGTAGCACGAAGTCAACGAAATAATGGTACTGTTAGAAGATTACCGTACAATAATAAAAAATAGATAACTAAAGCGCTAGCTGAAAACTCGTCTGACAGGTGGATCTGACAGGTCTGACAAATCTAAGCACTCCCGAGATGACCATTTTGTTGATATCCTTATGAAAAAAAGTGTTGCTGCTGGTGGTGACAGTGTGATGGGCAAAATTCAAGAAAGTCCGAAACCTTAATAAATATCACGATAAGAAAACAATGAAGTTTGATCCTTTGTAGAGAAATTCCATCCAAATCAATGTGATTTCTGCATAGTATTTGACTGCTTTCCTTAAATAGTAGAAGCCACAAAAATTGCTGACGGTGTAGTTTGTCATTCTCCCCTTTGACGAAACTATTCACTAGAATAGACTATGCGATCTCCTTCATCGATCGATTTCTGATCGATTTCTCCCAAAATCCACTAAATTAAGAAGTTGATTCTAGGAGAAGTCAACTAGACTTGCAATCAGTGACAATCATGAGGAAGAACGAAATCGAGAAGTGGCAACTGAAGTCACAGCACACAGATCGAGGAATCGCTCGTGGGCGATCAATGAGAGGAACCCAGTCGAATGAAGGAAATGATGAGATCCACACAATATGAGATGTTAGGCAGTTTAAAAAATACATATATGAAATGAAAGTCGAAAATCGAAAAATTGCGTTTTATTGCTCTCCGATATCTAATTCAATGGAATTTCAAAGGATAGAAGAAACCAGGCTACGTAGGGCGTTTGTAGACAGACATTATTGATTAAAATGGGAGCAGAAATAGTCATGCTCGTACTGTGAGAAGTAGGCGAATTGAGGATATTGGCCACCAGTCTTTGTTGTGCCTTATTAATTTCAACCTTCTCTTAACATGTCGCATTCGGTCATACATGCATGACGCGCTTAAGCGGATGGGATTTGCATCCCTGGCATCGATCCGATCAAATGCCTTTGATTAGGTGAACGACCAGGTGGAAAACACACCAGGTTCACTTCAGTGGATAAACTTCATGTCCATTTCGGGAGCGCTTGACGATCGGGAATGAAGCCCAGTCAGTGGTTGTTTGGCGCATTAAGGATGAATGAAGTCCGAATGATATAAATAAATCAATACAACGGATAAATAAAAGTTCTTTTGCAATATATACGTTCAGGGAAAAATATGCTCTTGACTAGGCATATTCAACTATGTCGAACTGTTAGTTTAAGATAAAAAAAGTGTTAAACAATTTGCTCCTGCCTGAAAATCAGGCACTGTCAGCACGAAGTGCGCATGACAACGACATGATTGCTAGAATATGGAGTGAATACCCTAGTTTGGTACGTATTTTGCTTGTGAAAGGAGAACTGAAGATTCACGTTCAAAGGAAGACGTTTTAACAGTGCTGGGTGCTGTTGAAAAGCATGGTTTTCTTTATCATCGTCAAATTCTTCGAGCGTTAAAAGTTAGCGTAGCACTTGTCATTTAAAGGCACGATAATTTTTTTCTCATCAGTGGGGCAGGACCGGACTACATCAGCTGGTTCGTTGCTTTGGTAGTCGTCCGAGGTACCAAAAGCATCCTGAGGAGTCTTCCGCGACGTACGCCATTTTTTGCGAGGCATCAAAGTCGGAGAGGCATCTCCTTCATCGTTGGCGATCGGCAATGGTCCGCCTCGACATGTATCACATCCGGAAAGCCCAACTGTTTGCACGGAAACAGAAATCTAAATAGCATCGGTTTCTCATAGCACACGATAATTTCAAACTGCATAATTCAAAAAATTCATGGTCCAATTCAAGCAATGAAAAACCAGCGGGAAAAGCAGAAGAAGATTCAGGAGAAAAACAGACGGGACTTGAAGGCCAGACATGTTTTTTAAGACTATAAGAGTGACTGAATCCATATTTGTATTATTCAGTGACCTGTGGAAGCACCTGAATATATGGGGTCTTCCTAATCTCTAACAAACGACTAATTGCTTCGCTGTACTAACCACTACGCTGCACGCGCTCGTTTGACATAACTTAGTCACTTATATTACCTAAGAAGAAACCTACTTTGTCATTAAGTCGCATAGAGAATCGATCATTTCTAGGATGAGATCGAGGCGGAAGTTGCGGCTCTGGCGCCACAATGGCACCATAGCCTTGTTTTGTCCACTCAGCTGGCTCTGCTCTACCAAATAGAATGAAGTAAATATTGCAGAAAGTCATTATAATACCGTGGACCATCCATACGTACCTAAATGTCTTGCTATTAAATCATTATAAGGTTTATTCCTAAAGTGGAAGACAATATGAGCATTACCAACCACCACTCAGCCCACGTGTCATCTCGAACGAAAATGTTCACGACCACTGGTGCCAATAACGATGAAAAGCAGTTGATGAAAGAATTTACGCCCATGACAAAGTGGTTATGTTGCCTAAGGATCATGAAATTATGGAAAAGGACTAAAAAATTAAGATTTAAAAATATCAACCTCGTCTTGGCTTATCAACAGAGGGATACAGTATTGATCACGAGGTTTAACTCGTAATTATTTAAAATCACACAGAAATCTTGGGATTTGCAATAAGTCTTTAATCGGCTTGAAGGATAAATCATAGGAAAATGCTCGGTAAACAACTCATAATTTAATAAAACGAATGTCAGATTTGCCTTTTTGTGGGCCATACAGAGGCTAACAACTACGCGCGAGAAATTTTCTAGGAATTTTGGAAATTTTGCGACCACTTCAAGAAAACTGGCCAACAACAGCAAAAACTAAAGCAGATCAAGAAAGAAACACGGTTTCGAACTTACGCGGCAACGATAGCTGAACTACGGAAAAATGCACCACAATTGAATCCGACAATGGAACAACAACAAATCAGCATTATTAAGCCGAATGTGGGCATCGACCTAGAAGAAACACAAAGGTTCCAATATCTTCGGAATACTATGCGCGTTTAAAAAAGCAAAAGAGAGAACACGTTTGCATAAGGCATATTATAAAGGATAGAGCTCTCGGCGTTGATCAATTTCTGAAGGCCATGCATTCGCCTTCATTAAGCATCGTTAAAGGTGTTTGAATCTGTATCTTTCCCAAACAGTGACTTATGGTGGCCTACCGATGCATCTAGTGAGTGTTAGTATCCTTTCAAACAAGTCTGGTACCAACTTTCCAACACCGGAGACCGGAGGGATGAAAGGCATGGTGAACCTGGGGTGCGGAGTCGACCCCGTTAGTATTGCACAGCGCTTTTAATCATTGCGCTGCAGTGCCGCTAAAATATTTGCACAAAGAGAAGAGATTCTCAGTTTAGAGATTTTCACCCAAATACTTCATTAGTGTTAACTTTAAATCTCTTTATTTATTGATTAATTAACTTTTTATCTGCTGCCTATTAAAATTCTTCAAGGCAGAGTAGTATGCGTGACACAACCACAATGGTGCTGAGATATTCACAAAATCTCCAGACCGCAGGTATCTGCGATGGGGAACGAACGCGCTATTGTCCTTTCCAGGGTGTAACCCGTTCACCACCACACCATGCGGGTCCTTCGTTTCTCTTGTCTCTCACCTAGTTTTCTAACGATCAGTGCCAGCAGTAATGAGACGTCAATGGGAATGATTTGGGGAGCCCAAATCGGCATTGAATCTCACTTAAGCTAAGGCCTGCATGCTGTGGTGATGATCGCGTTCGTCCCCCACCGCAGATACCTGCTTTCCGGAGTTTACAAGTATCTTGGCTTCATTACGGCTGTATTTCATCAATGTTTAGTTCTGATGATGTTCTTGTAAAAGCCAGTGAATTACCTAATAATCCAGAAATGGCTCGTATCGCCATGGTTAAGAATGTCTGGTCTAAAACATTGACAGGGGGAGGAGTTCTATAGCTACGCGCAAGTTGGTGCGATTTTTTGGTTCATATATACAATGTTATGTACTACACCATTTAAAAGTTACAGGAATTCTTGGATATTTGGATCTCCGTCCTCACTGGTTGTGGGAGGGCTAGCATAATTTCCACTTTTTCTAAGTTTCGCAGGTTTGGCCATTGTAGTCCCCTGGAGTCCCGCGGTCACTCAAGCCAATTTCTGCCCCAAGTCGTCACCACGACAGGCACTCGCCGCCCTTCTGGATCAGAGGGGTTTACGACCATGCGACTAGTTTGATACCAGGACAGTGGTTGACCCTGGTATTGGTTTGGTTTACTCTTAGTTGGGCTGGAGGAGGAGAGCTGAGTTACAGAATTACAAAAATAAGAGTTCGAAATAAACTGCACCATGGAATATATTGAAAAGCATCTAGCCTTTCCATAGTACCCAATGCGGTAACCTCCACTACACAATTGCACTCCACAGTTTACCTGTACAAGTCTTCCTAATGAAATGAGATCATATCGCACCGGAAAAATGCGCATAGTTTCGAACTTTAGTGTTCGAGTAGAGCAAAAACGCCTCTTCTCCATTCAAAACGGCTACAGTATCTATGATGTGGATTCTATTCGAAAGCAACACTCCCTCGCCTTCGAAATGAAGTCGTCAAAAAAGAGGATATTTTTAAACCCTTAAGTGAAAAGTTGTTGAGAGAACACCAATCCTTTGATGAGCTGCGCATTGGACTACGCATTGAATGAAAATTCATTCTCCGATCTAAATTGAATAAGCTAAATTGAATAATAAGTTATTTATAAGAAGTGTAGGACAAAAGTTCTGTACACCAAAGTAAACAATCGCAAAAATAATTATCTCTGTAGAGGTCTTGCCGGCAAGTGTGCACCGTTATAAACGACTCCTTCGGAGGTCACGTTGTCGCGGACGTGCTAAGAATGTTCTCTACACTATAAAATCGATGGGTATTCCATCACCAAGTGCAACTCGAGAATGCGTGGAATAAATGATCGTTCGAGTACGTTCGTTTACACTTTCAAACTCCGTCTGGAATCTTTTTTTTCGGGCAGCAATGAAAAATTTATTACTGCGGAAAGAGTACTTCCTCGTGTTTCTCCAGTTTGTTTCTAGTTTCTAGTGTTTTCGACTTTCTTACAATGACATGCCCATTTTTAACGCCGTCTTCTGATTCTGAGTTATCTGATTTTAAGCGAGTGGCTATAAAATGAGCTCCTCTATATGATTAACACAGTAAAAAGTTTACTGCTCATAATGACTAATTTTCATAGAAATAAAACCCACGTGGGAATATAGGCTAGCGCGAAAAATGTGATACCCATGCCTCCGATGGCCAAACAGTTGAAGATCTTTACCGACGTCAGTGGACTACAGCAGGTAGCCTTATCGGCAAGGAGACCGGCAAACAATTTCAAGATGAACGTCGCTATCTGAAAATCGGTCTTTGAGTTCACCTGGCAGCTAGTTCGTTTTTTTTCGAATTAAAGTGTAATGTTGGTCGATGACTGAAATCTTGTTATTGTTTACTATTTCCTTCTATTATTGCTTTAACATCTTAGCTTATGGTGTTCCTAGATTCCAAACTATTTTGTGCAAGATATGTCGACTCACCAATTAAAGCCGTTTATGGCAAGAAACGATTCTACATTTATGTTCAGAAATTCAAATGAGTTTGTGCCAATATCACAACGATGCCTGACGAGCAACACTTAGCTCCCTTCTCGCCAAAAACGGTAAAAACATACTTTTCGACTTTCTACAGCAATTGAAACCTGATGGGAATATTAATATTCGATGAAAAGAAGTAGAGTCCACGGATATCCGCTGAACGTACCCTATGAATAATTAATTGGCTCTGAGTGGCAAAAGTAGTACTGCGTTTTGTTGAATGCTGCTGAGTAAAGTGGCCAAGAAAGCAGGAGGGTTATGACGTGTGTTGAGTCGAATGGCGATCACTTTATTTATTTTATAGAGTATTTACTAATTAATTCCATTCTAAATATGTCCATCGTCTTTGTGCTTTGGGTTTTGTTAATTGAACACACCTGTGGGATCGCACTGAACACTCCAGTTAGTTCCACAGGAAAGCCCATCACCTAAATGAGGGTAGATGGATGGATATCTTTTTGACTACTTTGTCAATAATAGTTAACTATTAACCTTATTTAGGTAAGTCGGTGAGAACTGCATGGTTACTTGTATACCCATGAAATTGGCAATTGCCGAGATCCAAACGGCGATTATAGCATTAGAAGTAATAATCGCCTGAATCACTTTTTTTCCCAGATAAAAAACAAAGAAGCTTAAAATTGAACGAAAAACTAGAAAAAATAGCAATTCTGTTATGGTGACTAGTTCGTAAATCGACACAAGCCGGCCATGATTGGTCGGCTGGTGTTTACCACATGCTCTATGATTGGCCAACGGTTCGGAGATCATTTTTGAACAACTGTGAAATTATTTGGGAAAATTAACCTTTACAGGTATAGGTTCTCTTTCTGCGGTGTTCCCTTTGCCGCGTTTTATACGATCCAATTCCTTTGCAGAGACGAAGGAGTGTAAACGCGGTTGCTCCCTAAGACAAGAATTAGTGGAAGATGTGAATTAACTCCAAAAAACTTCTTCAATTTAACGTTAATTTTTCTAGAAATTGTGCATGGTTGTTTGCCCCAGGTGAGGTAGATACACTGCTATTTTCATCATAAACAATGTTGACGGCGATGAAGAATTGATCAGTCGGTTTGATTTATAGTAAAATCTGGCCAAAAGCTCTGAAATTCGTCCAGTAGTTCAATAGTTAACTAACTTAACTTAACCTTAACTTTAACTTTAACTTTTGTGCTTTATGTTACTTTGATTTTGGCCGTTTATATTTACTGCAATTCCGAGGACGTTGGAAAGATCATGAGAAATCGATACCTGTAAAAATAGAGGAATAACAGGAACAATACGCAAGTAATGATTGAGTGTAGATAGTAAACGAATGACCAGCCAAGTGATGATGTGCATAATGCGCCAGCGACAGGCATGGTGAATATGGGAGCGAACTGAAGAGGAAAAGCTGTTCTAAAATATCTTCAGATTGAGATAGCTGAGTTTTTCATAATCCATGCATCTATGAATAGCAGCATTCTGTACAGAACTGTCTTCGCTAGAGTTCCTATCCTTGTACAACGTAATCTACCTGGAAAAAGCAGGTAAGAAAAGCGATGTAGAATGCGCTTTGTTTTTGCATAGACCACTGACGAGTGACGATGCCGATGAGAGTGAATCCAGTTGAAAGGCCGGTTCCCTAAATAACAGCACCTAGAAACTGTTTACAGGCCTGAAGATTTTCTACCAGAACAACTCTGGATATTATTTGGCCCACTCACACAGTTAGCCTTAAGGACAATGTAGGGCCAATATAAAATCAATGTTTGAAGTCACTTTATGAAACCACCCTCTCCCTAGCCAGCCAGCAGTCGTTTACTCTGTCAATGCTTTCCCTTGTCACTATTCTGGAAGGATCTGGACTACGAGAAAACTGACCAAATCCGCCAGAGTTATAGAAAATGTTCAATGTCCGCAAGATTCTTTACATAAAGAAACTATCCAAATGCTAGTGGAGAGTAACAAAACTTCGCTTAAACTCATTAAATCTTTAAAAATAAGCCCACACCTGTAAAAATCGCATCGCAACCAACCAGTAGAAACCGAGATAGGCGCACAACGGAATGAGCGCAGTGCACAGAGCTGAGAAAAATCCGAATATTGTCACGATACTCCGAGAGCCGTATTTCTAAAATTTGTTTGCTTTTGATAAAACAATAGTAATAAAGGTGTAGTATTTTGGGTTTTTTTGGTGAGGGCTGGGGCTCTTAGCAGTAAAAGTGTGGGGCTTCAGGTCATTTAGGAGGTAGAATTAGGAAGTAGGAATTCAGAATTCACCGAACGCTTTGCTAATAAGCTATACAGAGCAATGTGGAAAAATACTGGCGCCTTCCCTAAAATTGCTTGGTGATCGAAGAAAGGCCTGGTGAAAGGAATGATACGGATGGTAAAGATTTTGCGCAGAAAAATTCTTTGAAAAAATTGGACGTTGAGCTTTTCTGCCGAGGTAATGAAGGTGTTTGGCTGAGTAGATTACATATCCATTTCAACTTTCCAGATTTTGAAGAATGATAAAACGCCGAAAACTAAGCGACCCCTAGAAAATCTTGTACAACAAAGATCTGCACAGAAAAAAAATATTGATTTATTGAGGAACACCGTGGTTAATAGAACATCAGCCCTGGAAGTTTTTCCTTCGAAACTGCTATTTATTAAGGAAATTGGAATGTGGAGGGTAACTTTTAGATGAATAAATGTCAAAATCATCCACAATGAAATGACGCTGTTCTCATCGTAACCTTTTTCAAATATCCAGCTTTTAGTAGAACTTCAAGTCATTGTATAGGTTGTTAAGCGTCCACTTTGTTAAAGAAGAGCAAAGTGGAAATTGTTAATCTGCATTATAAGTAGTGAGGATCAGATTACTACTAGACTGACGATGGTGTTACTTTACATGAAAAGTTCTCATTCGACTGTCACCGCAATGAAAACGAAAAACTGAAAAGTCACATTCACATTTGTAGAATTTGTAGTAAAAGATTGTAGCTAAGAACGAACCTGAATAAGCCACATAACAGGATACACGGCAACCATGGCTCCAACGGCCACAAATGAAAACAACATGTTCTTTTCATTCGGAGTGTATATGTAGCGCTGTTGAGCGAGTATTGCTGCATTGTAGTCCAGCAAGAAGGATGAATTATCCGTCTGAATTTCATGTCACCATGTTTTTCTATGAGCTATGCCTTTTAGTGGGATTTTCTTGATTCGCACAAAACGCAAATATTATAGTGGATGTGATTCTTGCCACCGTTCTGCTCTTAGAGATGTGACAGAATGTGGACACGTTCAAATCGCCAAAGGAGAAGACAAACTGGACGACTACGTCGAATGATTAATATTCGGCAATCATTGCAGAACGTTCATCGATCACGAAAAGTCGATCATCAAGCCAAAATGTTTCGTCATAACTCTTAGCTTATTATTTATTGCCTACTCTTTTTAATAGCAGAGTATATTGTGAAATACAACTTCAATGATGCTGAGATATTGGCAAAACTCCGGACCGCAGGTGTCTTCGGTGGGGGAACGAACGCGCTATTGTCCTTTCCGGAGAGTAACACGTTCACCACCACACCATGCGGGTCTTTCGTTTTGCCTGGTAGTTTTCTATCGATCACTACCATCAGCAATCGACAGTCAGGGAATTGATCTGGGGAGCCCAAATCGGCACCGAACCTGGTTAGGCTGAGGCTGTAGTTATAATCACAACTACTGAGTTGCCATCATTTGCAACTTCACCAAAAATCTACAACAACAAGAGAGAAGACAGGACCCGGATGGTGTAGTGGTGAAGTGCGCTGCTCCCCGGTAAGGACAACAGCGCGTGTTCGTTCCCCACTGCATACACCTGTGGTCCGGAGTTTTGTAAATATCTCAGCACTTCATACGAGTTATATTTCACAACATACCCTGCCATTAAGAAGAAAAAGGCAGTAAATAAAAGAGTTAAGAGAGAAGACAGTTAGTGTGAAATCTGCCGACTGTCCTGTAGGCCTGTCAAGAGCACATTTTTTCCTCGATTTTTTCCAAATAAATTTCGAATAAACAAAGGCTGGCAAAGCAGCTATTCCCTTCGGACGGTTCCTTCTCCTTCTTCAAAGAAAAGACGACGACCCGACCATGAGTTAAGCTTTTCAAAAAACACACACACACACACACACACACGAATCTCTCGTTTGTGGAACAATGAAATATTGGAATAAGTAAAAGCATAAGGCGTTCAACTTTGATGAATCTCTAACGGATGCGCCATGTATTCAACTTCACTAAACGTTATTAGAGGTGACCACCTTAGGTAAGTCTGTTACCCAATTACCGTTCAGGGTGGAATGAAGGCTGGGTGAGCAGGAGGGTTGGGATCGAACCAAAGACCACATGTGCGCTGCGTGGCACCTCTACCCACTGCGCTACACGCCCTCCATATTGGAAGTAGTGAGATGAAGTAGAAGAATTCAACGCCCTTCTCTCCATTTTTGAGGACTTTTCTAAGCAAATGGAAATGCAGCATAAAGTTTTTGTGATGAAAACAGAAAAACAGACTCTTTTGAAGGAACTGTTTCACTTACTTCAGAGTATGTTACATTGTCAGTTTGAAAAATCGTTCCAGAAGTGTTGTATTGATCGATGTTTATAGGATCGCCAGCCATACAAATAATAGTAAAATTCAACGTCAAAGTATTGCTTTGTGCTATCGACAAACATAATGTGCATAACAGAAGGATGATGAAACGAGTGCGGTTCTTGAATACGAAGCGATCTTTCGATGTCGGTAGTGGATGGTCGGCCGCTCGGGACACGCTGAGTACGCCACTGAAAGTGTTCATGAAGGAGTGAACAAATGAACGAATCATCTTTTCGTATGCGCCTATAAACATCTTACTTCTGTGAAACTTTAAACCCGTTGGATGTTGTAATGCACCCATTGTTATCAAATACTGACAGAAGTGGCGAGCAAAGAAATTGGCGGAGACTACCAGGATGAGATGTCACAGTTATCGAGCAAAGGACGTTTCTAAGGTTGACGATATCGCAAACGATCAGATGCAAATGCGTGATATACATCTCGATGTACTTTTTTCCTTACCTGCCGAAAAATCGACTTCGTTCACCAGAGGGGCACATTGCTGTAGCTCATCGACACCGTTGTGTTGCAGGAGAGATATGTAAGTATTTAAACCAAATTTCAATACAATGTGGTATGTAACGGAATTTGCGCCACCAGAATAGGGCAACGGTTGGCTCGTCATGTTGTTAACACCCACAACTCGCTGCTACTGCCACCTTAGCCGATTGCTGCTAAATTCACAGTTTAAATTTTTTCTCATTCATAACTTCAGTCGCAAAAGTGCCAATACGTTTTTCAAGGTCAAAACGTTTGTTCTTCGAAATGTTCGAGACACAAAAGTCGACATTAAGGAATGCAATAATAGTGAATGGCTAGATTAGGCTTCTTCGTTGAGCTTTTTTGACCCTCTTTTTGGCTAGTTTATCCAGTAAACTACCAACGTTATCCCAACATAATTAAGATATTTGTACATAACTAAGTGTTTCAAAGAAAGGGCACTGATTATAATTCATTGAGGCTTCCAAATTGTTCTTTAAATCGATCCCCGTCGAGGCTAAGTAAACCATTTCATTGCCATGATATCTCTTACCCCGTAAGCTGTTCATTATAACGTCTAACTTATACAAACTTCTATGCCTTTTGTAAATAATTTTTCCAGTCGTTTAAATGATGAACTGGTTTAGTACGTGATAGTTGATCAATGGAACATGGAACTTCTTGTTTGTGGAGCAGCGTTTTCGAGCAGTTTTAGATATTTTAATTCCCTAACGAGTTCCTTATTTTTTCAAGAGTAAAATGCTACGTAGATCTAAAAGTAACAACTGTTCGGCTTACGATATCTTCAGCATCTCTTTCAAAACTTCGAACTAAAGGTAATTAAGGAAATTTCAGTAACGTCGCCTTTCTGATCTAATGGTTCGTAGTTTACAAAATTTTCAATGTCGAGTTTAATGTCCCAAGTGGTGCAATATCAAATTGTCGACATGGAAGAAAAAGCTGCTATGAGACGGAAAAAAACGACGACAAACAAGAAGAAGCAGAAGCAAAGCAAAAAAAAAATACTCACCACTCACCCATTTGGTGCACGGACGCTGATAAAATGTTATGAGCACCACTTTTTGTTTCTATATGGAAGAGTTTGTTCGTTTAATCCTCGGTTCATGGTGGGTTAATAATCCGCTTAGAAAATTCTGAGTTACGATTCGCCGTGTTTTCAACGTATGCAAATTGCTGTCACCATAAGTTCACAAAACGTCACCTCTTCCACCTCATTCCGCCACACATCCTTTCCCAAAAACGCCAAACGTCTCTGGTTTTTTTTTCGAAATCTGGTCGAAGTACTAGCCGACGAGAGCAGTTATTCAAATTTTCGACTATGTGAAATTATTCATAGGCGAGGAGTCATAGCAGCATTCGCATTTCAATCTGAAAGAACATTTTGAAACCGTAGAAAAAATAGTCTCACTTCGTTTTGCCCATCAATTTTGTTACGATCCTCGGAGTCAAAAAATTGACCCAAATCAAAGACATCACGCCAGAAGGGATAATGTGCATTGCATATAAACGCACGAATTAGACGATTCTTTTATTATGCAATGCAAAGCGTCATTGATCATTTTTCAACACGGAGCAAACTTCTTCCATTCATTCGATAGATTATCGAACGCCGACCAATGTACAGGGCTCGGATCAGAAAACCAACTTACTTTATTTTCTTATTTTTTAAAACATGAAAAACTAAAAAATTTTTAATGTTTAACGTTTTTGTTTTCTGCCTTCTATAATTTTCATGGCAGGTTACTAAGCGAAATACAACCACAACGTTGCTGAGATATTTGCAAAACTCTGGACCGCAGGTGTCTATGGTGGGGAACGAACGCGCTATTATCCTTTCCGGGGAGTAACGCGTTCACCACCACACCATGCGGGTCCTTTGTTTCGCACGTCTCTCAGCTGTTTCTATCGATCTTTTTGGCACAGCAATCACCCGCCAGCGGGGTTGATCTGGGGAGCGCAAATCGGCATAGAACCCAGTTAAGCTATGGCTGTAGTTGAAATCACAATGTTTAACGTTTTTGTTTTCTGCCTTCTATAATTTTCATGGCAGGTTACTAAGCGAAATACAACCACAACGTTGCTGAGATATTTGCAAAACTCTGGACCGCAGGTGTCTATGGTGGGGAACGAACGCGCTATTATCCTTTCCGGGGAGTAACGCGTTCACCACCACACCATGCGGGTCCTTCAACTACAGCCATAGCTTAACTGGGTTCTATGCCGATTTGCGCTCCCCAGATCAACCCCGCTGACGGGTGATTGCTGTGGCAAAAAGATCGATAGAAATAGCTGAGAGACGTGCGAAANAAGGACCCGCATGGTGTGGTGGTGAACGCGTTACTCCCCGGAAAGGATAATAGCGCGTTCGTTCCCCACCATAGACACCTGCGGTCCAGAGTTTTGCAAATATCTCAGCAACGTTGTGGTTGTATTTCGCTTAGTAACCTGCCATGAAAATTATAGAAGGCAGAAAACAAAAACGTTAAACATTGTGATTTCAACTACAGCCATAGCTTAACTGGGTTCTATGCCGATTTGCGCTCCCCAGATCAACCCCGCTGACGGGTGATTGCTGTGGCAAAAAGATCGATAGAAATAGCTGAGAGACGTGCGAAACAAAGGACCCGCATGGTGTGGTGGTGAACGCGTTACTCCCCGGAAAAAATTTTTGGTTTTTCATTTTATTTTTCTTAGCCCGTGTTCACGTCCACTGTGTGGATCCCAGCACTTCGCACATTCCATTCGTTTCTTCGTATCCATTATCCACGAGCATCTTCCGACTTTACGTGTGGTTTCGGTTGCTGCTTCAGGATTTTCATTTTCTATAATGCTGACACATTTGCAAAACTTCGGACCGCAGGTGTCTGCGGTGGGGAACGAACGCGCTATTGTCCTTCCGGGGAGTAACGCGTTCACCATCACACCATGCGGGTCCTTCGTTTCGCCTTTCTCTCAGCTAGTTCTGTCGATTTCAGCCATCAGCAATCACCCTATCATTAATATTTTTTTAAAACATTAAATTTCGAAACCTTTATTATACAATCTGCACCTTCTACAATTTACTAATTTAGTGGCTTGCTTGACACACACGAACTTTCTACCATACTCTCCATCGACATAATCTGATCCATCGGTGGATTTCGCCTTTTCCAGAGCCTGGACTGCATTTTAGTCAGCGAAATACCTCCATAGCCAAGACAGAGAAACCACGAAAGCTAGATTTCAATCGCACTGCAAACCAAAGAGCCTTTTTACACACCCACCACTTTCTATAAGTCAACTGCTGAATGTTTTAAGAGAAGACCAGCAGCACAGAGTTCACATGCATGAGTAATGGATTTCTCCCACATAAAAATGTCAGTCTTAGGTGCTGTATGGTATCAGGCGTGATAACAAGGCATTCTTCCTTACGGTTCATATGCTCCGAACGTTTTACGCGCTGAAGTTTTCAGCTCATGTGCGGGGGTGGTAACTTCTACTTCAAAATCATCACCGTTATTCCTCTGTGTCCAATGTCCCATAGAGTCCCTATTCTGACCAGAATTATCGTTTGGGGGCGTGGTTTTTCCTCTACACCTCTCTCTATAAACTATAGTTTCGTAGCCATTGGAAGTGGCTACTTGCCACGCCAATTTCAGAGATTCTTCGTTCTGTTCTCTTCCTGTGGACACACTTGCTGCTGTTCGAGACATGTTTCTTACAAGCGCACGCCCTTTTTATGTGTGAGCAGTGAAAGAAGAGTTAGTGAACCAGTTGGTTCTTGTTGCTTGGTTTACGACACCATTTGGTGATGCAGCCATTTTTGGGTAGGTTAACGTCTAGAGATGGAAGCTATTTTTTCTTCGGTTTCTATCAGATGAATGTTATTTACCCTGACTGCCGGCTTTATTTGATCTGTCTTAACGTCTACTGCACGGATCCGAGCATTTCTCACATCCGTTTCCTCGCATCCATTGTCCACGAAGACCTTCCACCTTTTACGTGTGGCTTCGGTTGCTCTTTGAGGATTTCCATTTCATCTTGAATGCTGTAGAATGCTGATCGAGCAGTTCTCCCTGGAGCCCAGAGATAGCCGGGCCGGAGCGTTCCCAATTCCATTGCAGACAGTGGTTTTTTCCCAAACAAGTCCGGTACTAATTTCCAAAACCCGGAGGAATCAAAGGCTTTGTGGACAAGGAGCCAGAACGAACAAGCACCATGCTTAACGTGATCGGCATCATTGCCACTTTGTTACTCTTCCCTAGCCCAATTGAAAAGTTGAAGATAATGGCAGCGAATATAACTCAAGGGTATTCATAGAGTAAGAGTAGACGTTTTTTACTTTTGAAATACCATTCACCTACTCAATTCGGGTACTGCTTTTCTGGAATGCCTTAAAGTAAGCCGATTTTCTTTTTTCGTACTTCGATTAAATTTTCTAAAAATAAAAAAGAGATAAAGTACCATAACGGAATATATATTTTGAGCCAATGACAAATTACTGTTCGTCTGTTAGAATAGCAACCCGAAGTAAAGAATACGCGAATCTTCATTTCTGTTCTTCTTAAGCCTGAAAAGCACATCTTTGATATTTTGTGATTTTTTAGTTAATCAAGAGTGCGTGTAGTTCAGTGAACAGTGGTACCTTGTGATAAACACGAGATCCCTGGTTCGCTACCGGGAACCTTTCCAGGAGTCACGAAGTGATTCATCACTTCGCGC